CAAATAAAATTTTTATTTTAAAAAAAATATTGAAAGAAGTGTATGCCCTTACACTTTTGCGCCTGAAAATAATCACACCCCCATGATTTGATATAGGATAATGAGTGGTGCACACCCGGATCCAACACCCGGGTGTGCACCCCCCACATAACCAAAACAAAACCAAAAAATATAAGGATAAAATTACAAATTTACCCTTTCTCTAATTCCATTTCCCAAATTACAACAAGAACAAATCTAAGCAAAATTCAACCAAGCATTCAAGCACCTAGATCAGGTTCTACAGCAGAACCCACATCTGGGTTTCTGCTGCAGATGAGGCATGAGCTCAATTTGAGATTTGTCTTTCGAGTTGTAGTGAGTAGCTGCTAAATCAGATTCTGAGATCTGCAACATTAACAAATTTATCTTTTATGCATTAACTTTTATGCTAGATCCCGCTGTTTGGATGCCGAGAAAATATAGGAAAAGGAGAAAATTTATCGAGCATTCACTTCCCCTATGTTGGCTCGAGAATGCCCTAATTCTCTTCCTACCAATTCCAATTCTCTCGTGTCTAACAAATTCATGGAATTTTCTAGAAGTCCAAATGTTTGCCCCCAAAATAATCAGACACGGGAATCCTCCCCTTTTCCTTCATTCATCTTTGAATACCTTAAATTCCTAAAATTCCAATACCTAAAGCGAAGCTAACAAAAATTCGAAGACAAACAATCAAAATCAGAAGTAGCGAAAGATAAAAAAGCAATTGAGAAACCCTAATTAATTCAAGAAAATCAAGAACGAAGGCAGCAGAACCCAAATGTTGGGTTTTTCCAGCAGAACCCAGATCTGGGTTCTGTTGGAGAACCCAGCTCGGGATCTGGGTTCTGCTGGAGAACCCAGCTGGGGTTCAACAAACCCATATTCTTCAGCCGTTGTTGCCCCAAACGAAACCCTTCCTTTCTCCTCAAAAACCGGATATGCAGAATACTAGGAGGAAGAAAACCCAAGGTAAAGAGACAGAAGTTTTGGCTGTCGAATCCTTCTTCTGTTTCAGTAGTGATCGAGGATGATGATGGAGGTTGTGATGGTGCTGAAATCGGCAAGAAGATGGTGAAGATCGGAGAATGGAAACAAGGTGGAGATTTGCAGAAAGGGGAAGAATTGAGAGAGAAGGAGAAATGGGTAGTGTGAGGAAGATGACTTAAGGTTAAATTTGTAATTTTATCCCTATATTTTTTGGTTTTGTTTTGGTTATGTGGGGGGTGCACACCCGGGTGTGGGATCCGGGTGTGCCCCAATCAGTGTCCTTTGATATATCCATTTTAAATTTGTTAGGACCATATAAATGATCAAATTTAAATAAGGCTATTGTCACACCCAAAATTATTAATGTCAAAACTTTGTTAGTGCTTGGGCTATTTTACCCTTTTAATTAGTAGCCTCACATTGCCTCTTCATTTCCTATATCTACCATTATTAATTTAGGCCAATATCCATCCTTGATTTTCATTTTTCTTTCCCGACGTTTTGCAAAACCTGTTTCTATCTTCTCTTTAAGCCTTTCTCTTTATTTTCAGTGCTCATTTTTTAGTATTATTCATTCACACTTTATTTTCAGTTTTTGTTTTGTTTTACAATGTATGCTGTGATGTTTCACAAATGAGGTTTTCTATTTTTCAAACGATTCTTTAATATGGAGTTTCAATCTTTATTATATCAGTTAGCCTTCTGTTTTTGATCTCTGCTTCAACAGAATCAACACCCTTGTTTTGGATTGAATTCAATAGCACAAAGTAGATGCAGAACTTGAGTTCAAAGAGGCTGTTAGCAACCAGTTAAATTAATGACTCCTATTCTAAAAATCCCAAGGTCGACCTTCTGTTGTATAGTCACCCCTAAAATTAGAAGCCTATATGGAAAAGGCATAAATTGAGATATACCTAATAATTTTTCATTTCACTCCATGTGGTTTTTTTTTTTTTTAAAGAAAAAACAGTTGACAGTTGGTAAACAATTGATATTTATTATTTAATATAATAAAATTAATTTATAAATAGATATTTTTA